AATCCTTGGACAAGGGGTGGGGCAGGGGTGGGACCTCAAAGGAGGGGCGGGAAGGAATTGGAACAAGGGTATTTGGATTTGAGGTAGATCTTACATTGCACTTATATTGAAAAAAAAAAATGATCTTGTGGTTCAAAAGGTTGGAGATCACTGGTGTAGATAGTGCTACACCATTGCTCACGGAGGTAGATTATCACACTGATAGGAGAGTTCTGTCCCCTTGGCATATGAGTGTCTTCACTTACACACTACAACAGTGCAGCTGTGCTGTTGCAGCATTTTAAGACTAGCCTTGCCCTAAGTCTGGCAATGCCACTGTGTTACTAAGAGGAGGACAAAAAAAAGTTTGTCATGTGTAGCCTCCTTTTCCTTCTGGTACTAGTGCTGGAAGAAGGTCTTTAGACACCTCTTCTGTACCCTTCCTCATACTATCAAATGCCATCAAGATTGGAATATGGCTTGGAAATATTTCCCATGTCTACGTCTCATCATTTGTGAAAGCTAGAGGGACCATTCTTCCCTCTCAGCACTGCATATACCAGTTTGATCACTAGCATCTGAGCACAAACTGAGATGCAGCCAGTCCACTGAAATATCTTGCTGCTACCATCTGATGTGATAGTTGCCTTAAGAGAAAATAGGAAGGGACCCCGGCTCTTAAGTGCATCCACTATCTTCCCTCAGGGCAGCAGGCCTCCAAGGGAATAGCTTGCTCATTATAGGGGAAAGAGAGAGGGAGTATAGCAACCCCACCTCTAATATCCAAAGGGAACTTGGTAAGTGAAGTGGAATTTTACAGAGCATGGGTGTGGGAGACTTTCTCAACATCCAGGAAGGAGCAGCTTGCTTAGGTCACTGTTTGCTGCTTTCTCCTCCCCTCTTGCTATAGCTAGTGTTCTCCCCTTGGAAGGCAGTACCGGCAGGGAGCATTGTGACAACACTGTCACTCTGGTCTGTGTAGCAACTTCAGATCCGAGCAGGAAAGATTGAGGTGAACGGTGGCGCATTTGGAGCCCCACCTGCCTTTGCTTCTGTATCTGCTGTTCCCTTCACAGAGTTGCTGGGTTAATGCTTTCTACACTGAGAGGCTAGCAGCTGAAATCAAAACCACCCTCTTCACTTCTCACCTTCAGAATGATTCTGTCTCAACATGGCTACTTGAATTCAGTCCGTCACACAACTGGACATGCTTCCCAAAATAAGTCAGCTGGCCAGTCCTCCAAGATGACTTCCATCCTCTCCTCTTCTCCAATGACCATCCATAGCAATAGCCTAGCTTCCAGCAGGAGAAGGCCTAGTAGAAGAGCCTTGTCCTCCTGAAAGTGAAAGATCGCTGGACTTCTCTGGCTAGGAGAGAGACCACTGGTTACAACGTTACGACGTTAGCATAAGAAAGCAGGTGGATACAGACAGATGGGGTCACAAGATAAAAGCTAAGGCTGACTTGAACCATTGATTTAAGGTTCTTCTATGTCCTGAGCTAGTAGCTTTGTAATCACTAAAGTACCCCAATTCCAAAGTACCCATTCATCAAACCAAAGGAAGTCCTGCTTTCTGGGTTTTGATTCATTAATAAAAATATGAATCCCAAAATACTACTGGAAGCTCCAGCCTCAGCTTTCTCTCCAGGTTTTGCAAGCTTCTGTGGCTTGTTCCCCCAAGATCTGCTTGTTTCAAATCCTAGTTGTTTATCTCTATGAAGGATTCTCCCACTAAGGCAGTAAGCCAGCCATGCTTGTATGTCAACAGAACCCACTTAACACTTTCCCTGACTGATTCAACAACAGCTAAAGGCCAGGGTATTTCAGATGAACGCTACTAGCTTCTTATAAGCTTATATTGATCTAAAATAGTTCCTCCAGGCAAAATCATTAGGTATGCTGATCATAAGTAATGCCCAAGGTTTGTGCTCTCAGAGGCCTTAGAGAAACTGACTTGAACCTTTATCTCTGCAGAATAATTAAAGAAGTGACTGCAAATAATGATGCACATATAAATACAGTATCTAAACATTTACCTGGGATTTTATTGCACCTTGAAAGACATTAACCCCTCTGCTTGCAGTTCTCAGAGCTGCAATACCCATTTATTTAGTTGTTTGTATGCTATTTATTTATACTCAGCTTCCAGTGTCATTCTGCTCATTGTCACAATAAGTTTATACTAAAGCAGGACAGAAATCTGATACCGAATCATAAAATACTAGAACTGGAAGGGATCTCGAGAGGTCATCAAGTCCAGACCCTCTAGACTGAACTTGAAAGGTGACCCCATAGGTGCCCGTACTCCTTCTCTTCACGAGAAGTAAGGGAAGTGTGGACAGGGATTTAAGATACATTGACTATCTTATTTTAACCTTTTCCTGTAGCGAAGACCAGACCCCGGCCATCACCAACCATCTTGGTAAAAACCAAAATGAAGAAGTCGTTAAGCACCTCTGCCACTTCCACATTTTCTGTTATTGTTTCTCCCTCTTCATTGAGCAATGACCTACCATATCCTTGGTCTTCCTCTTGCTTCTAATGTATTTGTGGAATGTTTTCTTGTTACCTTTTATGTCTCTAGCTAGATTGAGCTTGTTTTGTGCCTTTGCCTTTCTAATCTTGCCCCTACATATTTGTGTTGTTTGCTTATATTCATCCTTTCTAATTTAACCTAGATTCCACTCTTTATATGACTCCTTTTTGATTTTCAGATTATTTAAGATCTCCTGGGTAAGCCAATGTAGTCTCTTGCCAGGCTTCCTATCTTTCCTACACAGTGGAATTGTTTGCTCTTGGGCCCTTAACAATGTCTTGTTGAAAAACTGCCAACTGTCTTCAATTGTTTTTCCTCTTAGTCTTGCTTCCCATAGGACCTTATTTACCAGCTCTGAGTTTACTAACGTCTGCCTTCCTGAAATCCATTGTCTTTATTGTGCTGTTCTCCTTTCTACCATCCTTTAGAATCATGAACGCTATGATTTCTTGATCACTTTCATCCAAGCTGCGTTCCACTTTTAAATTCTCAACCAATTCCTCCCTATTTGTTACAATTAAAACTAGAACAGTTTCCTCCCTTGTAACTTTCTCAATCTTCAGAAATAAAAAAATTGTCCCCAATGCAGTCCAAGAATGTGTTGGATAATCTGAGCCCTGAAGTCCCCCATGACCAGTGTTCCCTCTAAACTGAGAGGCTGCACAGTTTCAAAGGTGCTTAATCAGCCCTGCCCAATCAGTCAGCTCCATGCATGGAGACCTAAGCTGCTGAGTGGGTGGGGCTGATTAATCACCTGCCGTACAGCTTAGAAGGAACACTGCCCATCACCACCAAGTCCTGTGCTTTGGATAATTTTATATCACAACTCCATTAAAACCATGCATGTCTAAGGCTATTACTATAATCAAAGATCAGCATTTTCAACTATGGATTCTTAAAGTCAAACACACATCCATATTTAGACACCTGAATATGGGGCCTGGTTTCCACAGGAAATGAGCAACTACAACTTCCTCTTAAAGTTAGATTGAGTTGTGGGTGCTTAACAAATTGAATGCGTCAGGTGCTAAATTTTAGGAAATCCAGTTTGAAAATTTGAACTCGGGCTACGTCTAGACTACATGGCTCCATCGACGGAGCCATATAAAATAGTTTATTCAGCATAGTCAAAGAAGCAGAGATTTAAATAATCCCTGCTTCATAAAAATAAAAATGGTATGACGATCAGCTGATCCGGCACAGCACGGCAGTCTAGATGTGGTGTGGTCGACAAAGGAAGTTTCACGAGGCATACCAGAGCAGTCGACAAAGGCTTCATTTGTTGACCGTGCCGCGTCTGGACTGCCGCGCTGTGCCAGATCAGCTGATCGTTGGCACAGCACAGTGGCCATTTTTATTTTAATGAAGCGGGGATTATTTAAATTCCCCTTTCTTTGACTATGCTGAATAAACTATTTTATATGGCTCTGTCGACAGAGCCATGTAGTCTAGATGTAGCCTCAGTGTTTTAAGATAAGTAGAGCCCTGAGTGGATACTAAATTAAGTCACATCTGCATTTGCAAAAGCGATCCATGAATATCCACATCCACAAGCATAGATACGGATACTGGTGGATATCTGCAAATTTCTAAGGTTCTAAATACTAAATTTGTATCAGTTTCCACACTCTATCTGCAAAAATAAAGCGCAAATATCTGCATCCATATCCGTGGATGCGAATATCTGCATATATAAAGTGGATATCTGCAATTGGTAGGGCTGTAAAAATAAGAGGCTGGCAGTGAAAAGCAATTTGAAAATCAGGGGTCAGAGGAGCTATAATCAGTACCTGAGGAACAAGCATGAGTTCTGAACACAAATTCATTGTTCTGAATTAAGAGAAAATGAGACTGTCAGCTATGCAATAAATGCTGAGCACTCTGGGCCAGTGGAGGTTTTTGTTTTTTCAGTCTTTCCCTGTAACTCTCCTGTGATGTGAACATTCATAATAGAAACAGTCTAGAGTATCCAGTTGTTTCTGGTCACACCACCCCATCTCTTTGATCTGTATTTGCAGATTCACCCAGATGAGTAACAAACAAAAACAATGGGTAAAATACATTCTGTATATGTATTGGCAAACAACTACTATGAGCTTAGCTTGACTTATTAAGTGAAACTATTAATTACATGTTGTGCTGTACATTGATGAATTTCTTTGTGGTGGAAAATTGTGCACATTTTACTTGGTATTAAAGTCTCTTCTCTTTGATGGTGGTAATTAAAAAAACAAAGACATAATATGACTGGCAGAACTGACGGTTGAGTCTTTTTTTTTTTTTAGACATAATTTATAAATTAGAAGCAGTATGCCAAAGATAAGAATAAGCTGGCAGGTGGTCTTCTGAAGGATGGTATGAATTTCGTCAAATAGATGAAAAACATCATCTTTTCCCAGCAGAATGGGTGTTTTTAAGTTTTGTCACATCGCTCAGAACATGATCTTGAAGTCTTTATTCACTCACGAGCAATCTTTACTCACTGGAGTCAGTAAGACTGGTCCTGTGAATAAAGACTTTGGTGCCCAAACCTTTGGTTGACAGTCAGGATTAAACCTAAGCTCATTTTGCGTGCAGCAGTTGGCCTGAATTCAGGCCCTTGATGCAAGATTTCCATTAGGATAAACTCAGTTGTGGGCCAGGACTATTCTCAATATCAACTTGTTTATTTTAAAGATGTACATAAAGTCCTGTTTGTCTGAACACAGCGGAAACAAATAGAAGCAGACAATGTCCTCACTCAAATCCCCTCAACTACCACTCCGATGAGCTGTGTACTTGAGAAATTTTGTCTGTCTCTGCTTCCTATCAGGGTCACTACACATCTTGGCTTTCAGTCTGTGACACACTCAAGTTATGTCTGTACTTGTGACTGTACACAAGTATAGACATTGATCATGGGTGGACAATTTTTGATGGAGGGGCCAGAAGATTTATCTGGGTGACTCTGAGTCAGAAACCCAGCACGTTTCTGAAGCAGCCTCCCTGCCTGCCTCACCCCCACACAAGCTTCAGGGTCATGTGCATGCGTGAATAACTCCAAGATGGAGGCGAGGGGGCATGGTACTTCGTGGCTGCCTGTTGTTCAAACAGGCAGCTTCCACTGGCCAGTTTCTGGCTAGAAACTGGCCAATGGGACTGTGCTAGGGTCAAAGACAGTGCCTGAAGCCTTTTCTCCCTCCCCTCCGGGCTCAGTTTTGAAAGAGAAACAGCCCAGCAGCTGCTTTTCTGAGTGGTGTGAGTGAGGCAAGCAAGGGAGCCTGCCTGTGGCTCCCCACTGCACCTGTGGGATGGATCCAGTGGCTTGGTGGGCTGGATCTGGCCTGTGACCTATATTTTGCCTAGACCTGTTGTGCACAGTTGTATGTGTGGTGTAGTCCTATAATATTGCTATTGTCCATTTCTGTAGCCCTGAAGGACAGTGTAGTGTGGGAAAGCTAGCATGCAGGAGGGGTATGAGTATGTACATGACCCCCACATCTTTTATAGTGCAATGTGGAATGGAACAAGAGATGTGTATTGGGTTACATGTATCAATAGTTCTCCAGGGCCATCCCCATAATGCGTTGAACCCTCTACTGCCTGACCCCTATCCAAGTTATAAAGTCTTTCACATATACACACCATTGCCAGTGGTATCAGACCTGCATTGAGCTCTGAAGATAAGTTCTTTCTTGAATTGTATTGATGAGCATCAGCAAACATGGATCACGTTCCAAGAACTGCCTCCTGGCAGTGTACACTATCGTCCATGACTTCGCACGTACCAGCAGGGAAATATCCCCTACCAGGAGATTGCCTGGAAGGTGGAAGAGGCAGGCACTCACCTGACACCATTCCAGTGCTGGGAGCACCGCAGGATGCCGTTCTGGAGGGTGAATGACTCTACTAATCGCTCCAGGAGGGGATCTAGTGCTGTCACTTGACCGAGTGCTATCAAGGGATGTTAGTACTAAGCCTGAAATGACTTGTGACCTGTTGGCCTCCTCATATGGTGGGACATCTTTTGAGATGCAGGAGGAGGAGGCAACCAGCGCCTTGGAGAAAGCCCTGGGAGACCTGGAAGAAGAGGAGTACATTACTCTGTACTTCTACTTGATGGATGTGGTTGAGGACAGTCCCCTAAGGAGTCTCAAGATGACCCTGAGCAATATCAGAAACCAAAATCCAAAGCTGCTAAGTTAGAATAGTTCCACACACTCCCTGGAAATATTCCCTCTTGCTCCAATAATTTATGCCTCCAGCTGACTCTCCACCCCCTCAGAGTCCCCAAAATGTAGACCCTCAGCTCCTTATGCCCCTGAGGGATCCTGAAGCAAAGGGATGTGAACAGAACCCTCCATGAGGACTTAAACCCACAGTTTCTCCCGGAAGTCAAGAAAGGACCCAAGGATAGCCGTGATCCTGGCTTAGGCAGAAGTTGGAACATGGTCCTCTTAATGTCCTGGGATCACCACTGAACCAGAAGATGAACTTGACTCCAGTCTCTCATTCCCTGCTCTGACTCTGCCTTCCCAGAGGCCACACTCCCAACCCACAGCCACTACAGCTGCAGGCATTACAGCTCATCAGAGCCAGCTTGCTTACATCTGGCATCAGAAAGCCTAGCTCAGAGGTCTCTTATGTCAAATTTAGGGTGGGGGTGGTGACTCAGAAGCAGCACTTACATCACATTCAGGGAGAGGAAGGGCAAATCAGAATAGGGCTTTGCTGCTCCTTATAGCCTTGGCTCTCTGCTGGGACACTCTGGACCTGATGCAGAAGTGGGGGAAGGAGGAAGGTCAGGGCTCCTGTGGGGGAAGGAGGAAGGTCAGGCTCAATAGACCAAATGAGCCCATCCTCATCCTGGGGGCTGAGACACTGCTCAAGGGTGGAATATCTGATTCATTGATCATGGAGCTCGAAGGGGATTGTCAAAATTTGTCTTGGTCTCTCTAGACTGGGACAATATTCAGTGTCTGGGCTGGTTCTGTCCTTTCTGAACTCCTGATTCATAACAGCTCATCAGGATGGAAACAGACCCCCCTGTCGCCCAAAAACCCTTGGTCAGAGGAATGAGGTGACTGAGATAATCCCCTCCATATCTGTGCCAGTCAGAGAGAAGAGATAACTCCCTTCATGCCTCTTTTGTTTTCTAGGAAGGAGTCTGACTTTTCTGGCTCTCATGGGCTGTGTCTAGACTGCATCCCTTTTCCATAAAAGGGATGCAAATTAGACACATCGCAATTGCAAATGAAGCGGGGATTTAGATCCCCCCCCCTGCTTCATTTGCATAAACATGGCTGCTGTTTTTTTCCAGGTTGGCGCTTTGCCGGAAAAAAGCGCCAGTCTAGACACGGATCTTTCGGAAAAGGCTATATTTTCCGAAAGATCCCTTATTCCTTATTTTAAGAGGAATAAGGGATCTTTCGGAAAAGGCTATATTTTCCGAAAGATCCCTTATTCCTTATTTTAAGAGGAATAAGGGATCTTTCGGAAAAGGCTATATTTTCCGAAAGATCCGTGTCTAGACTGGCGCTTTTTTCCGGCAAAGCGCCAACCTGGAAAAAAACAGCAGCCATGTTTATGCAAATGAAGCAGGGGGGGGGATCTAAATCCCCGCTTCATTTGCAATTGCGATGTGTCTAATTTGCATCCCTTTTACGGAAAGGGGATGCCGTCTAGACCCTGCATTGTGGGTGTGGGGGAAGTTGGGCAGGAGGTTTTTTTTTGGGGGGGAGGGGGGTTGAGGCTCTCACTCCTAAAGCCAGCCAGGCTCCTCACTTGAAGTTCCAACTCTTTCTTCTGCCCCTGAGGGAGGAAGGGTCCAACATAGCACTGTCCTGGCTATCCTGACAAGAATGGCCCACTGGGGTGAAAGCTAGGAGAATAGAAGGAAAAGTGGGTTTCAAGTATCCCCTTTACAGTTCTCCCCCGCACTGAGGTAAAATGGCTCTTTCCCCCTCCTGACCATACTCACCTACAAAATGTATTAGAGCCTGTCTGAGTTTTGGGACTTTCAACAGGTTCCCCAGCATGGTCTGCCTGTGGTCAGACAAGGTCCTCAGTACAGCCTGCAAAGAAAGGACAGCCATAGATGACAGTTGGGGAAATTGGGTCAACTTTTTGTCTCTGTCAATAACTCCCTGCTCAGCCAATCATCATTGAGACTGAGAAGTGGGAGGCTGAGAAGTCTCAGCAGATGTCCCAAAGTATAGCCCCAGTCACCACCAGAACGGATCAGTAACAGAGCAATTTCAGCCCCACCTCTTTGGGATGGCCTTCCACAAAGCCATAAAGGGGAGTCTCTGAAGTAGCCTCTGCCTTTCACCTCTGTCCAGCCTGGCTGATGTTAGAGTCTCTTTGTGAGGTCACCACCACCCCACTACCTTTACCCAATAGACTGAAGTCCTACAACAGGCCTTTGTGATGTCACTTCCACATTCACCCCCTCCCATGCAAAGCTGATGTCCTGATCCTAACCAGCCCCTTGGGACTCATTGACCAATCAGAATAAAGTGCTCTGAAATGAGCTACAGAGTAACAATTGTTGATGGTCATTATTCAGCAGGTATTTGAGAAGAACAAGCACATTAGAGAATCAGGAACAGCGCAGAGACAATAATTGCGGAGGAGCAGCACAATCAAAGAGAACAAAAGGACCATAGTAAGGTAGCTTTGCCTCCCTCTGACTTGAAGGAGAAGAACTTCCCAAGACACCCTGGTGGGTAGAGCCAGAGCAACAGTCTTGCCTCCAGGAAACAGGAGCAGGGATGGAAGTATAAAGGCTGGAGCTACGAGCTCAGTGAGAACCTACCCCCTGAGGAAGCCCCATGCCTTGACCAAGGTTTTGAGGTGAGAGGCTCAGCCACACTGCTGGGAAGGGGAAGACTGTCTAGGACAGCCAGGACAACTGGCGAGCACGGAAGACTAGCTAGGACCACTGATAATCCCAGACCCTGAGCTAATGGAAACCTTGCCAGAATCTTTGTTCTCTGCAGACCTAGAGGAGCAGGGATCAAGCCAGATAGTTCCCTCTGTGGGCCTGGGGGCCTACCATATCTGGCTGAGGAGATGGAAGTGAACTGGCCAGCATGCTGCAGCCAGGATCCCTGCTGATCCAGGGACAGCCAGAGCTGCCATTGTTAGGGCCCTGGACTAGGCCACAGTGGAGTGGGTGGGCCTGCATCCCCCTACAACCCACTCCCTGTGTGGCAGATTCCCTGTTTTGGGCAAAACGCCTGCACTTGTCAGCTCTCTGCCAGATGCAACTGTTTTTCAGCCTGAGAACAGGCATGAGCTCCCTAAACTGCCTTCTGCCCCATGCTGAACCTAAGTATTCCCGGATAATAGCCACCTGCTTGGCCAATTAGCACTGAGACTGAGCACAGGGAGGTGGAGGGGTCAGCCAAGATGACCATCAGAAGGGATCAGTCTGAGCACTCTTCTAGTGTTTGTGAGAGCCCTCACAGTGACAGCAAACCTCCCACATACACCCCTCCTTAGTGGAGACAGTGAGGAATGGAAAAAGGGTGTGCCTATTGGAGTCCAAGAGATGGGTGGGCATTAGCCCATGCACATCTAAAGAACCTCCCGCCAGCCTATGGGGAGGGTCCACTGAGCCCAGAAAACCAAGTAATTACTTGGGACAAAGATGAAGCAGGGATGGGTATGAGGCTCAAAGGGCTAAAACAAGGGACCCGGATGGGGACACTGAGCAGAGAATCCTAGACAGCGCCCACTGCCCTTCTAAGGTTTCGTGAGCCAGTGGATGCTGCTCAGTGGAACTCTGCCTGGATGTGTGAGTGGATGCAGGATCGGAAATAGGCCCCAAAGTCGCAGGCCCCTCCCTCAGCCAACCTTTGCTCCTGGTCTTATAAATCACCATCTTGGTGATAGCCAGGAGGAGGCCGACCAGGAGTCCCCGTGACTTTGTGGGGCCATGGATGGGGTGTGCATAGATTTGTAGGTGAGAGAAGTGCAGCCAGAATCTCAACAAGAGGTTCTGGAGGAGCCGAAAGAGGGGCTGCAACCTGGTGCACTCGAAGTAGAGGTGCACCAGGGTCTCCCTCTCACCACAGAAGGGGCAAGTATTGGGAATGGGGGTGAACTGCTCCAAATACACCCCTGTGCTCACAGCTCTATGTAGGATTCTCCAGCTGATGTCCCCAGTGGGCCATGGACTCAAGGTGGAATAGAGACTGTCCCACCAGGGTTCCCCACCCTCGATTGATGGTAGGAGATCCTGCCACTTGGTGTCTGGGCGGGACACAAGGGTGGGGAAGTGGAGAGTGTGAAGCACGAGTGCGTACAGATGGCTCTTTGGCCCATTTGGAAGGGGACCGGCTGCAATGCATGCAGCCAGCTTGGGTGATGAGGGGGAGGCGGTCGGGAAGGTACACAGGGCTAGGGGCCGATGTATAGATCAGGTGGGCCAGGGGTGAGGGTCGGGCGGGGTGCACCCTCTTGGAGGACCTTGTCGAGATAAACTTGAGCAGTGTGTGGCAGGGCATCCACCTCCTGACGTACATGCTGGGGAGTACATAGGGTAGAAGGCCCCATGCACTGAGCGAGTGCCCAAGGAGCCATCCAGTCTCCCTGGTGATAGTCCAGGAGGTCTCAGACTCTGGTGATTTCTGCCAGGATCAGCCTCTGGCACACCGAGGAGGACTCCGCCACCTGCACATGTAGATGGGGATTGTGTAGCAGAGGCTTCATGAGGAAGTCTGCCACCATGGTGGCTCCCAAGGACCTGGTTTCCGCAAGCAGCTTCCAGGCCTGGAGGAGGTCCTGTTAGAAGGCCAGCAGCTTGGAGAGGTCTCACAGAAGACCTCTCAAAGGAGCTGCTGGTCGTATCGGAGCCCTCGGAAGTGGCGAAGGAAAGCATGCACCAGCATGCTCCACACCAGACTAACTGCATCATGTAGGAGCCTCTGCAGGGCCTGGAGCTGGAGGACACGGACCCGCATGAGCAAGCACATCAGATCCTTCCCTCCCTCCTCCAGGGGAAGATGGAGAACCCCGGCAGAGACCCAATGCAGTCCTGGCCAGAAGAACCACAGAATCAGCTGCTGGAAATGATCCAGGAAACCTGGGGTCAGGGCCAGGGTACTGAGACGGTACTAGAACAAGGACAGGACCAGTTGGTTAAGGACCAGTGCCCTCCCACACAGGGAGAGGCACCAGAGCAGTCCCATCCATCTCCACAACCGCTCAGTCACCCTGGACTCTAAACCATGCCAGTCTTCTGGTGGAGAGGGATGCATGGCAGAGAGAAAAACGCTAAGACCGAGCAGTGGACCTGTTGCTCTACCTGATGGCCTGAAGCATGGGTGGGAGGTAGCTTGCCTGCCACCCAACCCCTACCACCAGGCCAGAGCTCTTGACCCAAGTGACCCGGGCGGAGGAGGCCTCCGAGTAGACAGCTTGGCAGGCCTCCACCCACGCCAGGTTGCCCAGATCCTGAACCATGAGAACTAGGTCATCGGGATATGCCAACAGGACTAACCGCATCTCCGGCTCATGGAGCACCAATTCCATCAACCTCTTGCAAAGGATGTGGAAGAAGGGCTCAATAGGCTTCATGAGGAAGTCTGCCACCATGGTGGCTCCCAAGGACCTGGTTTCCGCAAGCAGCTTCCAGGCCTGGAGGAGGTCCTGTTAGAAGGCCAGCAGCTTGGAGAGGTCTCACAGAAGACCTCTCAAAGGAGCTGCTGGTCGTATCGGAGCCCTCGGAAGTGGCGAAGGAAAGCATGCACCAGCATGCTCCACACCAGACTAACTGCATCATGTAGGAGCCTCTGCAGGGCCTGGAGCTGGAGGACACGGACCCGCATGAGCAAGCACATCAGATCCTTCCCTCCCTCCTCCAGGGGAAGATGGAGAACCCCGGCAGAGACCCAATGCAGTCCTGGCCAGAAGAACCACAGAATCAGCTGCTGGAAATGATCCAGGAAACCTGGGGTCAGGGCCAGGGTACTGAGACGGTACTAGAACAAGGACAGGACCAGTTGGTTAAGGACCAGTGCCCTCCCACACAGGGAGAGGCACCAGAGCAGTCCCATCCATCTCCACAACCGCTCAGTCACCCTGGACTCTAAACCATGCCAGTCTTCTGGTGGAGAGGGATGCATGGCAGAGAGAAAAACGCTAAGACCGAGCAGTGGACCTGTTGCTCTACCTGATGGCCTGAAGCATGGGTGGGAGGTAGCTTGCCTGCCACCCAACCCCTACCACCAGGCCAGAGCTCTTGACCCAAGTGACCCGGGCGGAGGAGGCCTCCGAGTAGACAGCTTGGCAGGCCTCCACCCACGCCAGGTTGCCCAGATCCTGAACCATGAGAACTAGGTCATCGGGATATGCCAACAGGACTAACCGCATCTCCGGCTCATGGAGCACCAATTCCATCAACCTCTTGCAAAGGATGTGGAAGAAGGGCTCAATGGCCAGAGTATGCAGCTGGCCCAACAGTGGGCAGCCTTGAGGTACTCAGCACCCGAAGTTTACCAGTGTGATTAGGGTCCAGTTGAGCTTGACCAAAGACTCTGCAGAATTGTACAGTGCCTGGAGAAATCCCACAAAGCAGGCCCGAAGCTGAAGACCTGCAGGGTGCCCAGGAGGTACCCGTGGTTCATCTGGTCGAACGCCTTCTCCTGATACAAGAGCAGGAGGGAGAACGACCGACCATTACTACACCTGAGCTCTAGGAGATCCCGGACGAAATAAATTATCAAAGATGGTGTGGCCTACGACTGTGTAGGTCTGGTCTGGATAGACCACGTCTGCCAGAATGGACTTTAGTCTCAGGGAGATGGCTTAGGCGATGATTTTATAGTCTGTGCTAAGGAGTGAGATGGGATGCCAATTCCTCAGATCACAGAAGTACCCCTTCTTGGGCAGCGCAGCTCACCTGCATGATAAAAGGAGGACCCCACTCTCCAAGGTCCAGGCCGAGGATGTCCCAGAACACACGGTAGAACTCAGTGATCAGCCCATCCATGCCCTGGGGGCTTCCAAGAACTTGGCCAAGAACCCAGAAGCAGGTTTGCATGAAAATCAAGTTGGTCCAGTGAGACCCCCCAACCCTGAGCCCTGAGCTTCCCCTCCCCCTTCTTCCCCTTGCTTCCCCCTTCCAGATCCCTCCTCCCAGGTTTCCCCTCCCCTCTCTCTTCCCTTCTCCCACCTCCTTTCCCTAGTCTCACCAGAGTTTCATTCCCACCCCCACCCCAGTTTTGTTAAATAAAGAGTTTGTGCTCATGAAAATGCGTGTATTTTATTTGACATCAGGAAGGAGGGTTAAGTGGAAGGATGTGAGGGAGGAATGAGGCACAAGCCCCCAGTGGGGCAGATCAGGGAG